AATGTGCATGTAGTTCATAAAAAGCCGGAATGAACAAGGGACCCGATTTTTAATTTTGCAGTAATTATTATTTTAAAATATCAAATGGATTGTGCAATTGACACACATTTTAAGGGTTATATTTTATGCCTGCTGGTTGGCAGAAACAAAAAGTAACGTAACTTAGCTAGAGTAAGAGGTAATTTTTAAGTTAGGTTACGTTTATTTTTGGGTTAACAAAAAAAATTTGTTCCCATAGGCCCAAAACAATTATATCCACTGCATAATTATTGGAGAAGTTGCATAAAATAAAAAAAAAATCTAGCTCGTAAACTCAATACTAATGAGAACGGTTCTGAATACAATGTCGGTGCGATCGGCGAGTTTATTTTAAATTTTCCTTGTGACATGTTGACATATCGAATATATTACGAGCAAGTCTCTTTCCACCTGTTGTTCCTGATCACCTGGCATTAAATAGGTACCTGGATCTTAGTCAACTGTTGTGGGAGTTGCCCTAGAAAAAAGATGGAGAGGGGAGTAGGTATACTCTAATGTATGGTTTAAGTTTTAAAAGGCAATGAGGGAAGATAATAGTTCTTAGTATACCAAGTAAAACGTTTAGAAAACTAGGATGAAATGCAGTTTTCATGGCGGCATGTTCACTTGCAGGATGAGTGGCGCTGCCCAATAAACTCGACCCTCGGGGTAAAATTTAAATTCACATTCGATGAATATTGAGTTGCTGGAGCAACGGCGTGGGGTAAAGTGCATGAAAATGCTATCGGTGGCCTCCTCAAAATCCTGTGGAGTTATATATACATCTTTTATACAAGCCGAGTTTGGGTATCTATTCATGAACTCATCACCATCCTCAACAACACTGGCCCCTCCTGTGGTAATTCAGCTCATTTTATTGTTGTTAATATTAACAGCATTTTTCTTGAGACTTAGGCGTTATATACTTTAGTATAATATATTGTATTGCTGGTGATTTGTTCACTCATGGTGCGTGGGGCTGCACAATAAACTCGCACTTCTCGGCAAAATCTAAAAAAAAAAATCGCATATGGCGTGATTATTTATAATGTGGTGTAGTCACTTATGATAGGCTGTGCAATCCAATAGACTAGCACCACAGAATAAGATTTAAAAATCTTTGCTGGAATACTGCTGTACATTAACATCCCCATTCAAGGCAGGTGAAATTGCAGAGCTAGAGAATGTACAGAGAACCTTTTCTGCATGTATAAGTTCCATCAAACACCTTAACTACTGGGAGCGCCTGGAAGCACTTGACTTGTACTCACTAGAGCGCAGGCGAGAGAGAGATATATCATAATCTACACCTGGAAGATTCTGGAGGGACTGGTCCCTAATATGCACCCAGTAATCAATCCATACGAAAGCAAAAGACTTGGCAGGCGATGCAACATACCCCCAGTGAAAAGTAGGGGCGTCACTGGTATACTAAGAGAAAACACAATAAGTGTCTGGGGCCCAAGACTGTTCAACAGCCTCCCACCAGCAATAAGGGGCATTACGGGAAGACCCCTGGGTGTCTTCAAGAGGGAGCTGGACAGATACCTAAAGACGGTGCCGGATCAGCTAGGCTGTGGTTCGTACATTGTATTGTGTGCGGCCAGCAGTAACAGCCTCGTTGATCAGGCCCTGATCCACCGGGAGGCCTGGTTGTGGACCAGGCCGCAGGGGCGTTGATTCCCGGAATGCCCTCCAGGTAGACTCCAGGTATTGGTGTACTGTTGTGAATATTATACGAGCAGATCACCTGCAGGAGGCTTACAGAGAATTACCTGAATTATTACCTGCAAGTAATCTGGGTGAGGTAAGTGGGACTTAGTCACAGTAGGTCGCTGAACTGTAACTCCCTCATTGCCCACCCCCTACCACTCTCACAAAAAGCTTGACCTGACATTAAATTAATAATTATAATATTAAAACCAGCTACTCTGGTAAATTAAAGTTGTGGACTGTATATAATTAGACTTGCTGGGTACACAAAATGTAATTGGTATTAACAATTATCCATTGATGGATCACACCACAACACCTGCCTAACAACTAGACCCTACACTGGCCAGCTAGAGATCTAAATGAAAGGACTAATGGTGCACTTCCTTGTGAGTGATGTTTTCATCCCTTATTTTCCTCCATCCACACGTAATTCTTGAGGTCCCACAAATTTCCTGTCCCAATTCTTCAGCAGGGAACATTAAAATGGGTTCCTAATTACAAATTCAGGCTGATAAACCCCAATTGACCTTCGAGAACTCCCAATCACATTGCACAACTTGGTCTAGTGTCTACACATTAAATTCAATATGGCGTCACCCCCCCCCCCCCCGGCATCACTCCGCAGCTCTTGTCCCCCCTCACTCGAAATTTCTCGAAGGGCCCAAATAGCATCACATTTTAATACAATTATATTCATTTACATGTTCTACATTTAGGAAATTATGTAAAAAAAATCCACACCTGTGTTAATTTTTACGTCCTCAAATTCCAAATGGATTTCTACTAGTCGATGTAGTTTTCAATTCTACAGGAAGGTAATTATTCACTTGTTTTTCGTTCTCGCTACTGGTAAACAACAGGCTACTGCTTCCAACAAAATAAGCAGACCCTTTGATGGCACTACTGCCCGGCTCTGGCTGGGTTGTAAGTAGTATTTTTGGGAGGTTAATCACCACCACCAGATGCAGACTAAATGAAATGTAAACTTTGCCAGATGAACTATTGTCACACCCTGCGTCATTATGTACTGGAGTGCGATAAAATTAATGAATTCAGAGACAACTCACACAGAAATGTTAAAGAAATGGCAAAGTATTTTATCTACAGTGGTGTACTACAAACCATTCTGGAAAAATACCCTGACTTTGCTCACTGCAAATAAAGCATTACCACGTACGCCTGTGTGTGTGTGTGACCCAATTAATATTTGTACTTATAACTCATTACAATTGTGACCAGGTGTGGACGTGTGAATGGCTCATTACTTTGTAATTTGTTCATGATTGTAACCTTGTACAGAAGTGTAAATAATGCATTACCTTTGTAACTTGGTCATGATTGTGACCAGACTAGATCTACCTGGAGTTCATTGCCTTTGTAACTTGCTCAGCTATCATAACATTGGGGTCCAGTCCCTGGACTCATTATGAACCTCTGTAATCTTTTGACTATCGCCCACAGGATGGGTATGGGGTGCTTAATAAAGATATTTAACAAACTGCTGAAAGTGTACTCAAGAGCACTCCTTGTGGTCACTTGTACTTCATTTAAGTTCTGGTACAGTAATATTTCTAGCATCTTTTTCTGTTTTATTCTAGTATAACTAGCTTGTGGCGAATTTGTCTGAGAACGCTCCCTTGTACGAAGCTGTTTCTTCGTGGAAATATTATCAGTCACTTTATCCCGTTTAAAATGAAATTTTCGATTAAAACTGCTTACGCAGGTAAACCTTTAACCTAGCTGTTAAATCTGTAAATTGGGAATCATCGTCTCTGGAAAGGAAAATTACAGGAATAAGCACTATTAGGAAACTAGCAGGACAGTATTGTGCACACTCCTGTGACAGGACAGTAATACCTCCCTACTAACTATACATCCTTTTACAAGAACTGTAACGAGTTAGCCAAATTTTTCACACCGAAACGAAAACGTGCATATATATCATTCACTAATTGCCCTGATGTGAACAAACTTTAATTTTGAATCTTGTTTTTTAATTTAGAAATAAAAAAAAAGACACTTCAGCATAGAAACAGTGATAAAAATTACCAAGTCTCAGTATACGACTAGCGGTAATATGTTAAAGCACAAATTTAAATGCCTGCAGTATCCTGAACTCTGAGCCGGAGGAGCTCCATGATGTAAATTAAATATTGTTTTTTTTTTTAATTGCGTATGTATGTAAAGCCCGCAACAAAACTGTACCAATAACTAAATTTAAAAATATGGGATGGTAGGCGAAGAAAAATACTCACACGGCTCCTAGAAGTCTTGAAGGTTCTTCCTCGGGCATTTTATTTCCCCTATGTCATGAGTTGCATTACAGGTGTTAACTGTAAGAGTTACCTATTGCCTGGGAAATGAAGGTAAATGTGAAGTAATTGCATTTAATCCATAGAAAGGGAGAACTCCAATTCCCTGGTTCAAATAGCCTTCACCAGCATCAAGACACTTTCCGTGCAGTGTGTGTGTGTGTGTGTGTGTGTGTGTGTGTGTGTGTGTGTGTGTGTGTGTGTGTGTGTGTGTGTGTGTTGAAATAGTTATTAGGTTTAGAAGGCAGGAAGCATTGAGAGAAGATCGTTAAAAAATATATGAAGAGGAGCATAGGAGTACATGGCCAGACGAGGTTGGTTGGTGTGCTCAGCGACCACTGGCATTGTGGAGGGCAGCTGGACGACGGTAAGTGAGGGGTCGTCTGTTGCTAGTGCCCGCCGCTGGTCTTAAAAACCCTCCTTTCTTCTCTGCTGGCGGGGCCGACCCCTCCTCCTCCTCCTCCTCCTCCTCTTCCCTCCCCGGCGACCAGCGGCTGGCCCGGCTTGTGCCTGGCGTAGCAGCCGCCTCCAGGAGACCTCCCGAGGCTGGTCAAGTCTCAGCCTTCCTAGGCACCCCAGCTCGGGCCCTCCTACAGGCGGCCGACACGCCCCTAATGCGTCTCTTCCAGGGCGCTGCTGCTGCATGAGGCCTGGGCCCAACCACTGTCCTGTGACGTGTGCCCACACTATGACCTGCACTGACGGCGCCTGTCTCCACACACACCATGGACGTCGCCCTCCACCACGCCGCTCCCCGCGGTGGGGGCCGGCGCTGGGTGTGTGTGGAGGGGCAAAGACTGCATGAGGGGGGGCCGCCCCACACCCCCGGGACGGGCGCCGCCATTATACAACTCTACATTAGCCATTTTGTTAACGCGTGCCTCTTCTTTCTTTTATTTCTCGTGCTGTTGGTGCGCGTGTGTTGGGTGCTGTATGCTGGCCTGCTTGGCTTGCCCCGCCTGCTACTAATAGCCTGGTTCTGCTGTCGCGGCCGCGGCCGCCGCTGTGCCCTTGGCGCCGCCTCCACCGCTGCCCGCCGCAGCCGCAGCCGCAGCTGCTGCCGCCGAGCTGGGCAAGAAGCGCGGCCGCGACCCCAGTGATGAGCTCCTCATGGTACCCAGCCATCTGCATGTTGGCCAGGCCGGGGCTGGGCACGCTCTCCACCCACCCATCTTCTCTTGCCCACACCCACACCTGCTCTCTTGCTCACACTTACACCTTCAGTAGCAGCTCTCTTGCCCACACCTGCTCTTGCTCACACACCCTCACTAGCAGCTCTTACACACACACACACCTCCCTTGCCCACACTTACACCCTCATTAGCAGCATTCTTGCCCACACTTACACCCTCATTAGCAGCATTCTTGCCCACACTTACACCCTCATTAGCAGCATTCTTGCCCACATAGATACACCAGCTCTCACCTCTCTCACACCGATTAACTCTCGCACTACCCTCAACTTGCACTCACCACTTACTTTCACACACCAGCTACTCTCACACTTACATTCAAGGTAGTTATTTTTAAACTTGCATATCAGGTACTCTCACACTCTTATCGTTATTTTCACGCTTTACTCTCACATGTCACTTTCCTCACACATCAGTTACTATCGCATCAATTACTTGTGCGCGCGCACACACACCAATACACTCAAATTCACACACCAGTTTTACTTAGCTACTCTCACACGCTAGTCACTCACATACCAGTAACTCCCACACTCACACCAGTTTCTTCCACACATTAGTTATTTACACACATACCAGTTACTCTTACACTCACAGCTGTTACTCTCTCACAAGTTATTGTCTCACTCATACTGGTTAGTCTCACAACAGTTACACACCTGCTGAGATTATACAGCACACACTCGTCCACGTATCTGCTTTCACATCACACTCACCCTCACACTTGTCTTCACGTCATACACTCACAAACACTTTCACATCATATCCCTCACACACACACACACACACACACACACCACCACAAACACACACACACACACACACACACTTGCTTTCGCGCGCGCGCGCACACACACACACACACACACACACACACACACAACACACACACACACACACACCACACACACACACACACACACACACACCACACATTGCTTTCAAATCACTCACACATATACACTTGCTTTAACATCACTCACACACATATACTTCCTTTCACATCATACACTCACACTTGCTTTCACATCCTTACCAATACACTTGCTTTTTGCTGTTATGTCAAACACTTGCTTCATGGTGAGCGTATTAAGTAATACACTCTCCATACTTCTTACACTTTCACTTCATACACACTATACTCGCCACACCCTTCATACACTCACTCCATAGAATCACTTCCTCTCATATACAAGCTTGCTTTCACATTGCACACAACCTGCACTTATCCCACACTTGCCTTTTTTATACAACTTACCCTAGATTTTTCATACCACTTACCCTAGGTTTCTCATGACACTTACTATCGTTTTCTCATAACACTTACACTTGCTTTCTCATCCCATTTACACTCGCTTTACCATACCACTCACACTCACTTTTCCATACCACTCACACTCACTTTCCCATACCACTCACACTTGCTTTCCCATACCACTCACACTTGCTTTCCCATACCACTTACACTCACTTTCCCATTCCACTCTTACTTGCTAACACAGCTGGTCTCATACCTGTATATATTACCATGTTGTATGCTCGTGCTGCTGCACCTGTGTAAGGTTTCATTATACTTGATACTCTGCTTTAAATACATTACACCATCATACTGAGATTTGTCTTCCCCTTCCATGTACTATCTATATAAATCTGGCTCCTAGTCTAACACAAGCATTATGTGTACACATGTATATTTGACTTCCAGTTTAACAAGTGTGTATTTACACACACACACACACACACACACACACACACACACACAGTGGTACCCCGAGTTTTGTACAGCTCCCAATTCGAACAATTATGTAAGTGTATTATTGCCAGTGCTTTTGTAAGTGTATTTTTGAAGGTCTGAAGCGGACTAATCAAATTTACATTATTCCTTACGGCAGTGGTTTCCAAACTGGGGGTAAATTACCCCCTGGGGGTAATTTAACCATTTTTGGGGGGTAATGGAGGGGTGACAGAAAAAAAGTAATGAATTCTGAAAATCAAGAAAACAATGCGGTACCCAGTATGAGGATTATTGTTAACTTTGTCTTAGTATATAAAGTTGTAAAGTAAACCTATTATAAGTAAGTAATAAAGTTAAACCAAATAACAATAAACATCAAAAACTAATATACAGTATTATAAAAGAAGAAATATATAGCTAAGTGTGTGGAAACCCAAAAGTATTTTGACAAGTATGCTTCAGGACAAAAGTCACTCAGTAGCCCAGATCGACCTGTCCAGTATGCATCACTCACTTCCTGAGGCTACCTCTATTTCACACTGTCAGTTTATCTGTGAGCATCAGCCGAGGTAGACATAAGCTGGTATGAAGCCAAGAATTCCTAAACTAGCTTCAAGTATGCAACTCCATCCATCCCACTGATGTTCTTGACATCTTTGGTAATAGTCATTAGAGATGCACAATGTTCAAATACAATAAATAAAAGAAAATATCTCAAGTGTTTTAATTTAGCCATATATATCAATAATAACAACATTTTGTGAAAGGGGTAACATGCTTTATGTGGCATGTTAAATTGGGTAACAAGCTGAAAAAGTTTGGGAACCACTGCCTTACGGGAACAAATTCGTTCAGTAATCGCACTTGAACGGTCTTCTGGAATGAATTATGGCCGAAACTCGGGGTACCACTGTATATAAATAAATACACGTGTGTGCACTCACATTGGCTTCAAACACTACAAAAGTACATTTTCATACTTACACAGTTGCTGTACCTCTGGAAAAATGGTGAAACACTTACAGTTTGGTAAGATGGTGATTGTAGAGGAGTACTGGTGCAACATTTGACCATTAATTGCTAAAGCTAATTTCTTGTGAAATATTGTACCAATAAAGAATTTCTGCAGTCTTACTTGCCTGTATCTGCAGCTTCCAGCTCAGCACAAGCACACCCTCATATATATATAATATATATATATATATATATATATATATATATAATATATATATATATATATATATATATATATATATTATATTTATATTACACACACACACACACCTCTTTAAACTTTAAACATGTATTTTTTTGGTCAGTTTTCAAGCTTCCCATTAAACAAAAAGTTGGCACATTCAGGTTAACAGTTAATGTGATGGCTTTCACTGATAAAACATAGTTTTCCTAAACTTTACACTTGCTGAAAATGCCAAGAGGCAGCTAAGAAAATTAACAACTTTCCCTAACAACACATTATTTGTCATATATAAGTCCTTTCTTCTTGGTAATTTAATTCCTTTTCCCATCTCTACTGCCTATGACACTGGCACTCTGCCTTTACTATCAGTTATTTTATTTTGTATAAATCTGCTTATTGCACTAATCTATTATTGGCATATTATTCACCAGTTTTTAACAAGCTCAGTATCAATCACAAAACTCTTATGTTAGCACATTAAACAAATGATTGGTCATTTTATAAGCTGTCACAAGCATAGCGATTCATTTACTGTACATATATACCATTTAACATATATTCATTAACTATTGAAGTACATGGTTATATATTTTTATGATGATTTATTGCTATTACACATTAGCGTTCTGTGAATTACATACCATGTTACACATTTCTAGTGTATTTGGTATTTCTTTAAACATCAATACGACGTGATATACATGTTAACATCCCAAACATGATTTTTATATACATGTTAACATCCCAAACATGATTTTTATATACATGTTCACAACCCAGACATGATTATGCATATCTAACAAACAGTTCATGTTCTACAAAAAAAATATTTTTAAAAACATGATTTAATAAATATCGCACGTGATGTAATTTATACTGGTAATCACGACCCCATTATATTATTCTCTTGATACATACTTTATCATTTACCCCAAGATTGGGCTTTTATGCCATCATATTTACTATTGACTGAAATGTTTCTGTAAATGCTTGTGTATACAACACTTATATAAAATACATAAATAATCATAAAAAACTTGCATTACCAGGTGCAAAGATTAAAATGGCACACATGTGCATGCAGCTTCCCTTCTTCCTAATACACACACATGCATAAATAATTTACCTTAACAGCTCCTTAGATTTTTTCAGTCTTGTTACTTGTTAGCATTAAAAAAGGCACTAGTAATTGAAACATGCTGCAGTAGTCATTTAGCTATGCACTGTCAAGGCAGCTAATCACACAAAATATATGCTGTACTAAGCCTTCAATGTATTAAAACTTGTAGTTATAAATTTTAGCCTTATCTAGTTACAGATATACTTGAAATAAACTCCCCAAATTCTCACAGCTTTTCACTACCATTCCTAAGTACAGTAACAGTTAGGTTTGCAGCAGACCCCAACCTGCTAAACACATTTGCACCATCTCAACAGTACAATTACACATTAAAATCCTCTAATACTCCTGACCCTCCCCAGTCCCAGACCTTTTATAATCCACATTCCTCAGGGTTGGGATCATGATAAAGGTTAAAAACCACTTACTCATTGTTCCCAGCCTACTCTGAGGTCAGCGTCATGCCCTGCTCCGACCTGGTCGTAGTCAGTTCTCTGTAGTTGCTGCCGTTTTGCAAGATCAGAGCCCGTTGCAAAATTTTGTCCCAACAATCAACACTCGATTCCATGTATCCACTTCTGTACCCCAACTATTTCCCTAACTGCATTTAATATTGCTATTACTACCAAGACCAGTACTATTTACTACTACTATTACTACTTCAACTACTGTACTACCACCTCAGTTACTGCCAATACTACCACCACTACCACATCCTACTTTCACCCCCATTTGCCCTCTTACCAAAATTGACAAATTTCCCTGTCATTTTTGCATGTAATGCATTACACTTTAATTCCCCCTTTCCTGAATGCCAGTCAACACAGAGCTGAAGGCACACACTAATTGGCTATTTCTTGGTCCCAATAGTTACTACTTGCTGCAATTGCCTACCTACTATAGCAGTGATGTGTTGTGTTGAGAATGTATTAGTGCTTCCCCTGGAGGCTTCTAGCACTCTAGACCTGTTATTCCTAGCTTCAAACCCACTATTGCTTTATGCTGTAGATCAACACCATAGTCCTGCCAGCTGTCGTTTCCTCACCATCTAGTATATGCGCTATTTCTGTTGCAAATTCATCGTTTTATTTTTCTCTATATTTTTCTATTTACCTGGTTTCTTCATTTGTATCTGCTCCTCCTGTTCTTCAGCACATGTGCTCCTCTCCCCCCATTCTGTCCTTTATTCTAGATATGACATTTATTATTTAGTTTGCTCCATATTACAGTACCTTCCATTTCCCCTCTTCCCATATGGAGTTGAAATTTTGACCTTCTAAATTTTACCTGTCAGCTATCCAACAATAAAGTAGGAATCTGTATTCTTTAGTCTAGATTGCAGGGAAGACCTCCAAGTTCCCCAAGACCAGCTATTGCAAGAAGTATGACAATGATCTTGCAAAGTGGCTCGCTCTTGTCTATTTTCACATTGAGTACTATTACAGACCTGCTTTCTTTCTCATACCATCACTCATACTATGCTTAAAAATTACACGTTAGTATTTTTATATAATCTTTGACTACTGTGAAGCATATTGCAAATATTGGTGGTATGAATTGACTCAGGTCAGTGTACTTAGGTATCCTGTTCTCAGACACCACATGATTGATATAAAATATCGAGTGCCTCCAGCTTAATTTTTTTTTTTCAAAAATATTTCTCTGAAATAGTGGGAACAGGATGCCCTGCCTTAAAACTGTTGGTCATTGCCTACAAATAGCCTCAATTTTTTTCTTTAAAATACTTCACTGTAATTACAGTACATTTCCTAACTCCCTAAGAAATATATACTGTAATAGAGATTGGGGTTTTTGCCAACGGTTTTCATAAAAGCACAAGCAGCACATCATTACTATTGTTATGCATTTATTGGTATATTGATTTTGAAGATCTAAGTCATGACCATCAGTTAAGCACACAAGACTGATCAGTGACAAAGCTGATAGTCATTGGGACACCTCACACTCATTTACCTCTTTCTATCACTTCATGCAATCATTTAGAATTACTTCAAGCATATTCTACTTTCATCTTTACTCATACTGTACTTCAGTAATACTGCTATAAAAGTGAAAATTATTATTCTTATGACATCATTTTTTATGATTGTTGTAAGCAGTCCAACCTAAATTATTTTCTTGGATGAGTCCACATCTTAATTTTACTTCTGTATTAATTTGGGCTGAATATGTAGTGAATGTGTATAATTAATGCAAACATTTATTTCTCTATGTCATAGATACTGTATTCACAATAGTGGTGAGTGCCCCATGCATCCTTAATTAGCAGATAACAATTACACAGAGTGCTAGCTCACAGTTCTAACATGGTCTACACCTCACCTCTCACAGTTTCAGCCATTTGTCACTGTCATTAAACTTGCAGTTGTTGCCTAGGCAAAAGTAATTATTGTGCTTAATTATTCTTGACAGAACCAAGTAATGTGAAAATTTTAGTTACATAGTTGATTTCATACAAACTGCTACATCATTTCTGCTTTTAGTAACATCACATTGTGTATAAACCTTGAATGAGCATTTGTAAGTGTGAACATCATGTGATGTCAGTGAGCTGGTACCTGAAGTTTTTGGTGACCAATTGTGTTGCTGCTGTGACACATCATGCCTGCATCTGGCCCTCTAGGACTAGGTAGCATTGTCTGTGGTGAGCTTCAGCAGCATTACTGTATATCATACTCAAGTACATCTATGTTGCAGGCTTTTCCTGGGATGGTTCCCTACAAACGTCCAGCTGGAGACAAATCTGGAGTTCCCGTGTATCAGCCGACAGGAAGCGCAGCGTATCAACAGGCTCTGATGCAGCAACTGGGCGGCCAGAGCTTTGTGCCAGTGTCATGTGAGTATGGCGGGAGTGTGCCCCTGGCGGGGGTGGGGGGCCAGGCCGACAGCCAAGACACCACCGCCGCTAACAACCACGCTGCCGCTTCCTCCGCGCAACACACTTCCTCTTCCTCATCCACTTCCACCACTACCACAACTAACTCCCCAACCTCTGGCAAAGCCGTTTATTCCACCTCAGTCACGGCTACAAATTCTTCCTCCACTTCCTCATCCTCATCCACAGGGGGAGGGGAACTAGTGCCTGCATCACCAGTACCTATGAGTCCACATCCGTCAGTTAATGTGTTTTCATACACAGGCTATTCCCTTAGTAAGGGAGTTCGCCCACAGTTCAAGCCACCCGCTTCTCTTGCCCCAACTATCATGGGTCCTATGGCATTGTCTTCTATAGGATTTGCCCATCCTGGGTTGCATTCTGCACCAATTCCAGGTTTTAACTATGGTATTGGATCACATATGCCCAACATTAATGTTTCACCATATGCTTCTAGCAACCAACAATTGATGACTCCAGCTATGGCAAGTAGTGTGGCAGGAATGGGGCTGCCAGGCATGATGCATGGCATAGGTGGCTTACCTGCAGGGATGGCCTCTACTGTGGGTGGCATAGCTGGCTTAAGTGGTCTTGGTGCTAGTATGCCTTTGGTATCCCCCTCCATTTTGATGCCCCAGAGCCCTGTTTCCTCCTTGTACCCACCCCAGTACACAGCTTTGTCCAGTAACACCCACTACTCGCTGGCTCAGGGAGGCGAGCAGCCGAACAAGAGGCTGAAAACTTCATAGAGTGTGTGCATGTGCCTACCGGCTGACGAGCAAGTCTCCCGCCTCTGTGTGTCTACTTCTTGACACTCTCGCCGCTCGGTGCCAGTGAGCGAGCAAGACAACAACGACCAGCATCTAGTGGACTCTAGTCATGCCACTACTAACATCTACCGGTGTCCTTACAGGCACAGCGTAACTTACTAACTGGCCTTTTAAGTTTGATTTTAGATAATTGACGTAGCACATGTATTTGTCATTGTACTTTTCTTGTTATTGTACCTGTTTTAGAAGTTTTAGACATTAATGATTTTAGCTTTTACGAAGTATTTGAGACACAATAGTTGTCAGTTTTAACAAGACTTCAAGTCTTTTTGCTTTTAAATGACACAGCAGAGCAGACTTGCTGCATGTCCGCTGGTAACCGGGGGATGACGCCTGCATGGTGCCCAGCTCTACACGGTGTTTGTGATATGTGATGCACGGAGACCGCACTGCACCCTCCCCCAGCCCTCACCCTGTGTTCCCCCTCTACAATCCCACCTCCAGATTCTCCTAATACAGTATATAATATTTTGTCCATGTTTACCACTGCTGCTGCTGTCGGGGTTATGTGGGAGTTGGTGGTGGTGAAGCTACAACCTAATAACAGCAGCAGTAATGGTAGTAGCAGATTCAGGTCTTAGGATAGAGAGGGGGCAGGCAGGGTTTGTGCCAGAGAAGATTGTCTTATCTGTGTGTCAAGAGTAATGTACAGTTTGTTAACCTATACCTTACCCACACCACGCCCATGCTATGCCCACGCCACGCCCACCAACTCACATCCTGTGATAGTCTCGCTTTGCAAATGGTTATTGCAAATAAATCTGCATGTGCAAAAGACATGGTAGGCATAGCGGGCGGGTTTAGCCTTTGCAAGGGCATATGTGGAGTTGGTTGGGTGCTGCCAAGTGCCATAGAGCAGTGCCGTCTCCGTGTACTCCCGCAGCATTCCCAGTACTATTGTAGCACTACTGTACCATGCTCACGTCCCAACTTGATGTGATGGTAACTAGGTATGGGTCATGTTGATGTACCTCTGTAATGCTTCCTCTCTGTAGCCAGGGGCGCTCAGGCCCTGCTCGGGCTTATTCAGTACACATTGCTCTGTCAGGCATCAGTTTTTGTTGGACTGCTCTCATCTTTTTGTCTGTTACGTAATCCTATGATTCTGTTCATCATTATTATATTTGCTAGCTTTTAGTGCTTTTCAACATTGGTCTGGGTATCAAGTATATGTACAATTTGCCTGTGTATTTCAGTCCTTTTACTGATACAAAATATTGGCCTATGTATAAGAATATTTTTAAATAATAAGTCTGTAGAATGCATGATATTGTGTTTGATTTCTGCTTGACTCTCTTACTGTCACTGCTCCTCTACCCGGCATGACACTAAAGTCTTGGTCAGGTTAGTGCGTAGCACACGCCCATTGCTAACATTGCCTAGAGTCTCTCGCTTCCAGCCAGTTCCCGGTGACTGATTCACAGGGGAACAGCTTAGTCACGGTGGCTACTTGGCCCACTGGTGCAGCCTCCCTCCAGCCTGTCCTCCTCTAACCATCACCACTTGACACTTGTTCACCACTCGCCTGCTGATGAGTTCACTAGCTGCAGTTGGTTACTCTTGAGATCATTAGAGATAGGTGGGTTGGGGACCAGCTGCTTATTACCTGTACTGCCCAACAGGTGGTTTGTGTGTGAATCTGTGATGGGTTTTGGGTTTGCACACTTGGACAGGCTGAGCTGCACCAGTGGACTAGGAAGACAGGCAAGACTTGGTAAGTTCACGACCTACTTGGGGAGATATGATTGGCTTTACTTGCCCCACACACACACACACACACACACACACACACACACACACACACACACAGCACAAACAGCAAAGAAAAAAAAAGGGCCACAATATCAGTTTATTAAAACAGTGGTAAAGGACACTAGAAATTATTTCTTCAGTAAACCTGCAACAAGCCAGACAAATAAAAAAAAGAACTAGATTAATGTGAGGATAGCGAGCACATGGAACACCAGGGAGAAAGTAGTGGAGGTAAATTCCACACATAAATATAAATGCAATTACTGCACAACAAAATAAACGGGGCTGGAGATGCATTACAACGGTACATTCACTGGTTAAAACAGGCCCAGGAGTTGTAGCTCAGGTCTTCCACACACAGGCAATCATGCATGTACACACAGTACTGAAGAAAGGACATGAAAAAGTACTGTATCCCTTTACAAATAAGTGTTGATAACTGCATTGTGCTCCAAAGAGAAAGTGTGTGCAATAACTAATGGAAACTAAAAAATATTTCACAAAGTAATTACAGTATAGAAGACAGATCAACACAAGCACAGCTCTTTTTATACAACTACAAATAAGAACTTTATAATTTTCTCTCTGCTCTTAGATCTGGCCATATTATCCTTTCTATCTCCCATTTTCCTTCCCTTCCTCCTCCTCTCTCTATCTCAATCTTCCATTCTCCTATCCTCTCTAAAATTCTCCCTCTCTTTTGCTCTATCTTCTCTTTTTTGAATCTCCTAGTTTTATTACATTGATTTCTTAGTGTGTATGAAAGTGTATCATTGTCCCTGTTATTGCAAACATTTCTACAGCTATAATTTGGTAAAGGACATCTTGATAGGTACTGTACTTTAATTTGCAACTAATAATAATATTAATTTTCTCATTAACAATCTGCACTTAAAAAGTTCATCAACACATTTTATCCTAATTCCCACCCATAGACTGTAAGATCCTAGCTTCATTGCATAACAGTTTATCTATTAGTACAGTATATGTAACATACTCCAGTATGATTTTCTATTTTTTTCTTCTATTTGTATGAAGTTCTGACTAGGTGTCTGAATCCCCAAGAGGCCGTGAACTCATTCCTGGGCTAGGGCGTGAGCTTACCTGCTGACCTGATATGACCTAAGTCTAGACACTACCAAGAAGCCTCTGAGCAGTGACTGGGCAAAGCAGTTGCAACCTGCTAAATGGGGCTCTGGGTTGCCTGGTGATGGTTGGCCATTCCTGGAGGATTCTCTCTCTCCCCCCCCCCCCCTTTTTTTTTTTTTTTTTAAGGTTACACACTAAATTTATTCAGGCAAACACAAAACCAAGACACTAACTATTTTTAATTTCTCACACATTTCCTGTAATGACAGTTGTACTGTACATCTCAAGTTCTCTGTATGTTTTGACAATGCCCACCACTGCTGTTGATTTGGAAAGAAATGTGATGTGTTCCTTAGTCCAACCCACTTATTATATTGAATCAATCACAGCATGGAGCAGGAAAGATGTGGGCGGAGGATGAGAGATGGATTGTGTGAGAATTCTCCATGAATGGTTAAAAACCTCGGGGCCCTGCATATGCAGTGTTGGGCAGGGCACATTCCTATAACCACACCACGTCAGGAACAAACCGCTTATAGTACAGTAGTATTATACCTCTTCCCAAAAGCAGAATGTACAGGTATCTTGAGTGCATCTAGTGAGTGGCTACTCTATCCCCTTCTACCCATCTTGAATAGCAGTTTGCAATTTTCTAATGCTGGAAAAATATTTAACCCAAATACTCCCTGCTTGATGTTTTTAACTCAGATACATTTTTTTTAAGTCATTAGAGTGATAGTTGCATTACTGAGAACCATGCACGAAAATTTCTTTAATGCATTTTATAGAAAAATATCATGTAGATCAACTTTTGCATGACTTTAGTATCAAACGTTACTCACAATTTGTCAAAATTTTGAAAGGGCGTTTTATAATAAGTCTAATTAGAACTAAGAATATACTGTACTGCAGTATTATTCTATTTTTAAAGAAAAAAATTAACTAAAGTCAATTCTGGCAAAAGCTTAATATTATCATTGTATGGACAGTTATCCCAGGTTCACTGAATAAATTAATGCAATTCTTTAGTGATATGAACTAATCAGCAGCAAAAAATACAAACTTCTCATGCTGTATGTACTGTACTGTACTACATGTTGATGTAATTTAACATGGTTGTTCCTGACGATGAGTGTGTTTCTAGTTGGCCGGACGCGGCGCTAGCGTGGCTCTGATTGTGTGAAGACTGTGACCTAACTGTCCGCACGCACGTCACACTTAACGCTATCTGTCGCCACTCTACGACTCTACCATGACGAGCACGAGGGATAAGGAGTGTCAGGAGTGATCCAGTCATGCGCCCTGGGGTTATTACATTTATGTCTTGGGGAATACTCAAATGCTTATACAGTAATATCTGTCTTTTTCGTAGCTTTGTTATTTGGAATTCTCACAAATTCGGAAAACAACATTCAAATTCAGAATGATTACTAAATTCAGAATTTTCCTAATAAAATGAAAATTCAGAATTTAAATTAGGAAAATATCTTAGATTCAGTATTTTCTGAACAAGAGTCTGCTTTCCGAAATTTTGAATTCTGAATGTTCTCTGAAATTCAGAATTTCCCGAATAATAGTGAAAGTTTCTAATATTAATTTGGAAAATCAATCTAATATGAGAAATTTCCAATTTCTATTATTAGGAATTTTCTGTAATTCGGATACTCCCATGCACACATTATATCGACTAAGAGAGATATTACTGTACTACTGTACTATTTACCTATACTGTAACACTCAAGTGACTTACATATAACTTGAATTGCTCCTATACAAAAGGAATGCCTTCCATAACCAGACAAGATTCACCTCTAATTTATTGACCCTCAAAATGATTTTTTTTTTGTTGCAGTAATGCTTACCAAGTAGTTAACAAGCATTTAAATAAAGCTATGCTATGGGTTACAATTACTAAAGCCTGCCTAAGGTATTTTTTGGGCTTATAATCACATTTGTTTTAAGCATTACATCCCCCCTTGAAGCCACAGATCCTAAGCTTGATGTAAATAATATTAATGCTTTTGTAGCACGTGTGCAGAATGGGCCAGGTAATGGTTACAGCTCGGGAGTGGGCGTAGATGGGTGACAGCTGCAGGTGGTTGTGGCGTCCTGTGTTCACCTTCTCTACCACAGTTGCCACTGCTCACTAAACTCAATCACGTCTCACTTTTTAAATCTCACGCCTTAAGTTTGATGCTAAGTCTGGCTTGGTTGCCGTGTATGTGGTTAGTGCAGGTGTTTAGTCTTTACCTGCCATAAAAAGTTACGTCTTTCATGTAGATTTGTTTGAAATTTAATCTTGCTTGAAATTTAATTTTCACTTTGCATCCAATACTGAAGCCTCAGTCCGGTCAAAAAAATTTGCCCAATCTTGTGCAGATTCACTGTTTAAATACTTATGGGTATAAAAAGATTAGTGTCCCTGCTCTACAATAAATTCTGCCAAAACCTTGTGCCCAAATGCAGTGCTTGCTCAGAGGTAATAAGAAACAAAGCTAAAAAAAAAATATACGGCAACATAGAGCCCCATACAACCACGGTAGAAATTTCAAGAGTATTATCTAGATAGAATATTCTGAAACAGTAAAACTTCAAGAGAAAGATATATGCCTTGCAGAAAAAACAGGCAACATGAAATATAGTCATTAATGTGTTCAAGCATTCATATCTGGAATAGATTCAGCCAAATATACTTACTGAAAGAGTTAGAATACCCAATTTGATGGATGCTGTAGCTTGTATATCCTGGGAAATGTAGTAATAGTTTCTCGTGACTGTGTATTTTAGTGTACTTAAGGATATAGACGACTGTAGAGGAAATACCTAAATACTGAATGATCATTTAATGTGCAAATAGTGATTTGAGTGCTGGGATAAAATTGAGGAAGATAAACATAAATCATCATGGAGGTTGAGGGAAATGTATTGGGATCAGCCACGAGTCTTCCAGCAAGAGAAGCAAGACTAAACCACTGTCATGAGTAAGTACCATGTAGCTTATTGTAACTTAAACACACATAATTTTTATATTCTAATTAGCATGCATATTTTAATAATTATGAAGATAAGTTATATAGTATACAAAAAAGTCAATACCTTGACTGGATATGCCCAGAGTGTTAAATAAATTATAGCTGGAAAAATATAGTGATACATGTTATAATTAAAGCTAATTTTAAAACAAAAATTTATCAGAAATTACTGTTCAAGTGTACTATTTATGTCATATTACCAGTACATATTACATCATATTTGCATGCATTACTTTGCTTCCCAAGCTCTCATGCTGACAGTTTCTCTCTCCCCCTTTTCCCTTATTTCCAACAATCTGTTCCATTGATCTTGTTGATAGACTTCAGTGTTTACTTCCTATACATTTTCTTCATATTCTTGCATAAGGTTTACTTCTTTCAACAATTTAGTGGCT